ATTATCTTTCATTTATCTTTTTTAAAATATATTTTGAAAATTTTTCTTATTAGTTACATTTCTTTCATTTTCTGGGATTGTTCCTATTTGTTTATGCAGTATGTTTTTTGTTCTCTTATTTTTGTTTTTTCAGTGCTTTATTGATTTTTTTTTTTTGGTCTAACTGAGTGGGAGACAGCAACCATTCCCACAAACTCTACCATACCTGCACCTCCTGAAGCCCCACCCACTGAGTGAGGGGCATTACTTGCTTTTGCAGCAAGTAACCAATGATAGATAGCAGACAACTTCATTTCAACTCACCCTCAACCACTTTTTATGAACACCTAACGGAGATCTATGCACACACTCTTATTCTCTATCACACCCACTGGGATACAGGGGGTAAACTAAGAGTGCTGACAGTTAGTAAATAGAGGAGCACAGGACTCTGCTCACACAGTTATGTTAAAACAAAATAAAGGGAAAAAAAATCTTGCATAAGTCACAACAACATACAACTACAAATTAAACATAAATAAAACCACCACAGTATCTTGGAGAAAATAGACCATCACAGGACTGGAAGTTAAATGAAGCCAGTGAGTAGTTGGTTCATATGCTGCTCAATTGTGACCACCTGAGTCCACTTGAAGAGGGGAAAGGGGGAAATGCAGCAATGAAGAAATGAACTGAGTTTGGTACTCTTTGACTTAGGTCTATGGAGGGTAGGGATGAAAGGAAGGGTTGGCTGGTCTGAAGCACAAGGAGTTGTGAGCCTTTGGGCAATGAAATGATCCCTGAGGACTGAGGATGTGAGAGAGAAGATGCTGGCTGGTCGAAGTGAAGGGAAGAGTGTGACTCCCAAACTTGGCAGCAGGAACCCATGACCTAGCTGGGACAGCTAGGGCTGAGCTGACCAAAACCCAACCAAACCAAGAGGAAGATGTTTGACACTGAGCTGGTATTGTTGTTGTTGTTTGCCGTCGAGTTGGCCCCGACTCATAGCGACCCCTCCTTGGGTTTCCGAGGCAGTATCACTGCGAAAGTAGGATTGCCCAACCTTCCTTCTGAGGAGTGGCTGGTGGGTTTGAACCACCAGCCTTCTGGTTATCAGTCAAGTGCCTTAGGCACTATGCTACCAGAGCTGGTATTAAGTTACTGCAATTTGATGGCTTGTGCTGGGCTGGACTTTGCTTGTTTATGGATGCAGATGCCCAAAGTTTCCAAGCAGAACAGAAGATTCTCCAGAGAGAAAGGAACATGCCTGTCTCCTCATAGTACTGGTTTGACAGGCATGGGCAAATTAGAAACTGGCTATTTAAAAAGGGGGCAGATAAAGGCATGAAGTGGCTGGCTTACATACTTTCATGAGTGTTGTTATTCTCAAACTGATGGTGAAGGTGATGTTAATTTTTGAAGTTTAAAAGAGATAATGGCTAGAAAAGCCAGGGGGTGGTCTGTGGTGTGGTAAATTACATGGCATGGCTTTTCTAGGCATAGTCTTGGTAACTCCCACTTTGCCATGAGCAACTGAATACCTGACAGTTAAAGTTATCCACCTGCTGTATTTCTGTTGGAGTGACATGAAGCAATCTTTTCGGAAGTTCACTTTCTCTCAGGTGTGTAGAATTCCAATGTTAGGACTCGTTAGTTTTACCACTCTGCTAGGCTCAAAATGACCCCTCCTAGAGGCAGAAGGGGAACTCTGGTAGCATAGTGCCTAAGGCACTTGACTGCTAACCAGAAGGCTGGCGGTTCAAACCCACCAGCCTCTCCTCGGAAGGAAGGTTGGGCAATCTACTTCCATAGTGATACTGCCTCGGAAACCCAAGGAGAGGTCACTATGAGTTGGGTCCGACTCAACAACACATAACAACAACAAGAGGCAGAAGGAGTCTCTGTGATTGCCAGCTGAGAGATGCATGCTTCTGAAAGAGATATACTGCTGAGACAGAGATGCAAGAAA